TTTTTTTTTTTTTGTTATTTATATGATTGTATTTGAAATTGCAAAACGGATGATGAATAAAAATTATTCACGTTGGCTTGTTGCCCACTCTTCCTCCCCTGCCTTCCCTCTTTCTCTCATTCTTCTTCCTCTTTCTCCTCTACGTGCTCCTTCTCTTCATTTTCTTTTTTCCTTCTTCTTGCTATAATTCTGTTATTCAGTTCTTCCTCTTAATTGATTCTACATCAATTATCTTCACTTGCCAAAATGTAAATCTCGTATTTCGATCCAATAATTAAATATCATATTTCATCGATGCCATGTGGAAAAATAGCATGGCTCTAATACCGCTTGTTATGAATTAATCGCAAAAATAATGACAATAATGAAATAAAAAAAATAAGAACATCAAAATTTATGTGGAAACAAAAAAAAAAATTCTAGATGAAGAAGAAAACAAAAAAATTCAAAAACTTGAGACAAACTTGTCATTGGGTGCTGCGACACCACCGAGCTAGCCACCCAGCCCCCGGGGCTTTTCTTCAATCAAGGGCACCGGCTCCGCGGCGCTCCCTGCTCGACGCTGGGCTTGCTACTTCTCCTTTTGTCATAGGCGTTGCACCGTCACGACAATGGCACCGTGACCCCCATTTTCACTAATTTTGTCTCCAATGTATTTTTCTTTATCCCAAAGTCTTTTTCCAAAATTCTCAATCCTTGATGACCGTTAATTAGGATTGTCATAACCAAAACTCCGTAAACTTCTTCTATTCAACCAAACATCAAATCACATGAAACGTGGGTCATACCAAAACAATTACATTAATTTATTTTATTTAAACACTATTTTAGGAAGAAGAGATGGTGAGAATGGAGAGAGAATATGTAATAAAAATTTTGGTGGGATTCATTGCATTCAAGTATGTCTTTTCATCTTATCTTTTTATGTTAATGAAAAATTTTAATTAATTAGATATTAATTAATATTAATACATTAAAGAAATGTAATTATGAAGATTAGTTTTATATAATATAATGTTATTAGTACAAATTTTATATTTCATAATGCTGTTAGTACAAAACAATGTAGATTAAGAAGATCGACTAAGGGCATAGTTGATAAATGACAAAAAACAGTAAGGGCGAAAGTGACAACTAAATATTTCTTAAGTATGTATCGGGTGAAGGTATATTGGCTTTTTTTATGTGCAAATATTGACTATGTCAAATGCTTCTAAAAAAAAATTTTTTTTTTTAATCTCCACCCTCTTTTATTGGAGCAAAGATAATTGTCTAAACATATCTGGAAAAGTTGAAAAACTTAATATAAAATCGAATAAACTTGGACAAAATGACAACTTGCATCAAGAGAATTATTCACCATCAAAACTCTACAAACATAAAATATTGACAATCGAGCATTGTTAGGCCTTGCTATGGTCTATTTGCTAAAAGAAAAAATTAAGAATTGGTTTATAGTTTGTAGAAAATGAAATTATTTAAATTTAATAATAATTGAGAGATGAATTGAGAATTACAGACAAAATCAATGAGAGTATTATCATCTTTTAAAAGTTTCTCCTTAATCATTCATTTTTAAATATTGTATATAGATGGGATATTTCCTTTGAACTCAAAATTACACCCTAGCTACAATGAAATATTCAATTGAACTTTATTAAAAATGACATTTCACAGGATTTTCCTCCTCATCCAACCCCCAAATTTTTCCTATTCATTTCATTGAGCCCCTTCTCCTTCAACATTTCTCCTTTTTTTTTTTTTTTTGCGTTCTTTCCTTTTCTTCACTTATCTCTCAGTTTTTCTCGGATCCCAAATATGATTTTGACTTAAAACACTCGTTGAAAGTAACTTTGAAAATCAGGCTTAAAAGTAAGTTTGATTTACACTTTCAAAAACTGCAGAATTGATTAAAACTAGACATGATTAAAAACAAGTGACATGGATACTTGATGCTAAATATGAAGATCATACGAATTATTAGACAATACAGGAAATATCTTACACATGTGAAAAAGAAAATTGCATCTAAATTGAAGTGATAGAGGAGGCTGGATCTGGAGGAACGGGGACCTCAACAGATCCTTCCATAAGTTGCAGCACTCTCTTCATCGTAGGCCTTAATGTTGGATCCTCCTGAATGCACCAAATTGATATCATCACAAACTTGTCAAATCGCTTGTCGTTTAATGCCTCTTCGTCGTTTGCCACTAACAAATGCATTGTTCCTTCCTTGTAACAATCATAAGCAAAATCAGCAAGTATCATTTCACTCTCAGCCTCGACCTCGGGTTCATAATTTCTTCTGCAACAGATAAGCTCGAGCAACAAGATTCCAAAGCTGTAAACATCAACCTTGACTG